CTTAGGCAGGAAAGCCAGCTGGGTGACTTTGGGCCAATCACTGGGAGACGGTGAGTTCTAGTCCCGCCTTAGGCAGGAAAGCCAGCTGGGTGACTTTGGGCCAATCACCAGGAGACGGTGAGTTCTAGTCCCGCCTTAGGCACGAAAGTCGACTGGGTGACTTTGGGCCAATCACCGGGAGACGGTGAGTTCTAGTCCCGCCTTAGGCAGGAAAGCCAGCTGGGTGATTTTGGGCCAAAGTCAAAGAAAACTGCTGGGATTCATCCAGGAGAATTGGACACGATTGAATGGAAGAAAAAGGAAAAAGAAATGCTGTGTGTGTGTGAGCGTGTGTGTGTGTGTGTAAATCATCAAAATACCTGGCAGTTCATCAAAGTTGATGCAGGGGCACCGCTGAGGATTCTGGGAGTTGAAGTCTGCCGATTGATAAGTGCTGCAAAAGGTGGCATTCTGGGAATTGGGGATGGTCTTCCCAGGAGATGGAGGAGTGGGTGGTTCTCCCCTCCCCCCCCCCATAGACGTGACCCCCTCCCTTCCCCCTTTGCAAGGACCACTTCACCTCCCCGGATGAATACGACGACCTGGCGGTGCTGTACGATGCCATCAAGTCCAACAAGGAGAAAATGGTGATTTCCCACGAGGGGGACCCCGCTTGGCGTAGCGCCATCCTCACCAACACGCCCGCCCTGCTGGCCCTTCGCCACGTGATGGACGACGCCAGCGACGAGTATAAGATCATCATGCTCAACAAGAGATACCTGGGCTTTCGGGTCATCAAGGTGGGGCAGACGGAGATTGGCAGAGACAATATCTATCTCCATCCATCCATCATCTATCTATCCATCCTCTGTCTGACTATTCCTCCATCCATCCATCGATTATCCATCCATCTATCCACTGTCTGTCTGTCTATCTCTATATCTGTCTGTCTGTCTGTCTATCCATCTAATACATCCATCCATTATCTCTCTTTCAACTGTGTATCTCATTTATCTATCATCTCTATCTATCATCTCTATGTCTGTCTGTCTGTGTCTATCATGTCTATATCAATCTCTATCCCTCCATATCTATCTATCTATCTATCTATCTATCTATCTATCTATGTGTCTATCTATCATCTATCTATCTATCTATCTATCTATCTATCATCTATCAATCTATCTATCTATCTATCTATCTATCTATCTATCTATCTATCATCTATCAATCAATCTATCTATCTTCTATTATCTATCTATCTATCTATCTATCTATCTATCTATCTATCTATCTATCCTATCATCTATCAATCAATCAATCTATCTATCTTCTATTATCTGTCTGTCTGTCTGTCTGTCTGTCTTTATCTATCTATCTATTATCTATCAATCAATCAATCTATCTTCTATTATCTATCTGTCTGTCTGTCTTTATCTATCTATCTATCTATCATCTATCAATCAATCAATCTATCTATCTTCTATTATCTATCTGTCTGTCTGTCTTTATCTATCTATCTATCTATCTATCTATCTATCTATCTATCTATCTATCTATCTATCTATCTATCTATCTCCATCCATATCTATCCATCCATCCATCCATCCATCCATCATCTCTCTCTATCAACTCTGTGTATCTCCTTTATCTATCATCTCTATCTCATCTCTGTCTGTCTGTGTCTATCTATCGTGTCTATATCTATCTATCTATCCATATCTATTTATCCATCCATCCATATCTGTCGGTCTGTCTGTGTCCAACCATCCATCCATTCTTCCCTTCTGTTCCTTCTCGGGCCCAGGTGAACAGGGAATGTGTGCGAGGCTTGTGGGCCGGGCAGCAGCAGGAGCTGGTGTTCCTCCGGAACCGGAACCCGGAACGGGGCAGCATCCAGAACGCCAAGCAGGCGCTGCGCAACATGATCAACTCCTCCTGTGACCAGCCCATCGGCTACCCCATCTACGTCTCCCCGCTAACCACGTCCTACGCCGGCAGCCACCCCCAGCTGCGCTCGCTCTGGGGCGGCCCCATCAGCCTGCACAACATCTCCGCCTGGTTCATTCGGAGCTGGGAGAGGTGAGGCGGCAGGGAAATCCTGCACACTCAGTGGGATTCAAATTTTTTAACAACCGGTTCCGTGGGTGTGGCTTATGTGGTGGGCGTGGCTTGGTGGTCATGTGACTGGGTGGATGTGGCTTGGTGGTCATGTTATTGGCTGGGCGTGGCCAAGTCAACATCACTCACATCGAGGCACGCATCTCCTCACTTGGCCTCTCGTGACGGTGGGGATGCTGCAACAGTCGTAAGTGTGAAAAATGGTCATAAGTCACTTTTTTCAGGGCCATTGTAACTTTGAATGGTCACTCCACACAAGCAAAGTACCAGCAAAGGAAGGAGAAAAAATTCCAGAGACCTTCCTGAGACAGGAAGTCTAGTCCTGCCAAGAACATAATAAGGGTTAACGGAGAGGCAGTTTCTGTAAGCAACCCCAGAATGTTTCCTTCCTGCCTTCCTTACAGGATTAGCCCAGTAATTTCTTCTAACAACCGGTTCTCCCAACTGCTTAGAATGTTAACAACCGGTTCTAGCGAATAGGTGCGAACTGGTAGAATCCCACTCCTGACCCACAACCGAGGAAGGAAAGGAAGGAAAAACATTAGTCCAGTAACAGGTCTGATCCAGTGGTGGGATTCAAAAAATTTTTTACTACCGGTTCTGTGGGCAACCAAGATGATTAGGGAAGTGGAGGCTAAAACATATAAAGAACGGTTGCTGGAACTGGGTATGTTTAGTTTAATGAAAAGAAGGATTAGGGGTGACATAATAGCAGTCTTCCAATATTTGAGGTGTTTCCACAAAGAAGAGGGGGTCAAGCTATTCTCCAAAGCCCCAGAAGGCAGGACAAGAAGCAACGGATGGAAACTAATCAAGGGGAGAAGCAACCTAGAACTAAGGAGAAGTTTACTAACAGTGAGAATAATTAACCAGTGGAACAACTTGCCACTAGACGTTGTGGGTGCTCCATCCCTGGAGGTTTTCAAGAAGAGACTGGACAGCCATTTTGTCTCCAGTGGGGTAGGGTTTCCTGCCTGAGCAGGGGGTTGGACTAGGTGGTCTCCAGGGTCCCTTCCCACTCTGTTCTCCTCTGCCCTGCAGGTTGCAGAAAGGCTGCGGAGCCGGCTGCAACAGCGGAGGCAACATTGAGGATTCAGACTGTGGTGGGGGATCATCTCTCGGCAATAACCCCGCCGGGCACAGCGGGCAGGGCCCCGGGAGCACGGCTCACAACCCCGGGCCACCGCCGGCGAACCCCACCGAGACGGGGGCCACGGCTGCCCAACCTCAGGCAGGTAAGAAAAACGGCTGGGTTGGGGCGAACTCTCCGGGCTCGATTTAAAGCCGAGGTGTTCAACCGTGGCAACTTCTAAAGACCGATGGGCTTCAACTCCCAGAAGTCCTCCAGCCAGCGCATCTACTCGCAAGTTGGCAGAAGCCCGAGCGTGGGACGGGAGCTCAGCCCGTCCCGCAGCAGCAACGGGGTCTTGAACGCGCAAGCCTGCTGATGGTCAGCCCAGCATCCCAACCACGTGAGCCGCCGCGTTCCCATCCCCAGACCGCCGTGACCCACCCTTGCCTTGTTCTCTCGCCCGCAGAATCCGATCCCGGCCTTCCTCCTCCAAACCAGAGCTGGCCGGTCCAGCCCCAGCTAAGCCAGACCGATGGACGTGCCCCGCCGACCCCCGCCGCCTCGTGGCCTCCGGGCCCCCATTTCCTGGGAAGCCAGCTTTCCTGCGCCAGCTCCTTGGCTTCCGTGGCCGAGGGCTCAGGACGTACCCCTCTGCCCCTCCACCCCAGCCTCGGGACCCTCTCCCCTTTCGTCTACGAGGGTCTCTGCAGCAAGTGGAGCCTGCCAGCCCGCAAAGGACTGAACGGATTAGGGGGCAGCGAGAGCGAATTCCCGCCTGGCACTCCGCCTCCCCACACAACGGACAGCTCTTCTTTAGCGTCTAACGCGGCTGCTGCTGCCTTGGGGACACTCAGCCTTGGAGGGAGCCCTAAGCCTCAGGTGGGTCATCCCCCCCTCCCACCATTCCTTTTACACAATTTCTTTTTTTTTTTAAAAAAAAGGGGGACTCCCACATATAAGAGGCCGCCTGACTCTTTGTCAATCATTAGGCACATTCCCCGTCTTTTAACCAGCTACTAAGTCCCGTGGGGATGCGTTGGTCAGAGTACACTATTGCAGGTCAATTCTGCCCACTGCCGGCAGTTCGATCCTGACCGGCTCGAGGTTGACTCAGCCTTCCGTCCTTCCGAGGTGGGTCAAATGATGAAGACCCAGATGGTTGGGGACCAGAGGCTGACTCTGTAAACCGCTTTGAGGGAGCTGTAAAGACACTATGAAAAAGTGCTTTGCATATAAGTACTATTGCTATTCTCTTTTATTTTCTATTCTCTTCTATTTTCTCTTCTCTATTATTTTTTATTTTCCAATTCCTATTGGTATTCTACTCTATTCTATTTCTTCCAATATTTATTCTGTTCTATTCTGTTCTGTTCTGTTCTATTCTATTCTGTTCTCTTCCAATATTTATTCTATTCTATTCCTATTCTATTCCTTCCAATATTTGTTCTGTTCTGTTCTATTCTATTCTATTCTATTCTATTCTATTCTACTCCAATGTTTATTCTATTCTATTCTATTCTATTCTATTCTATTCCTTCCAATATTTGTTCTATTCTATTCTATTCTATTCTATTCTATTCCAATATTTATTCTATTCTGTTCCTATTCTGTTCTATTCCTTCCAATATTTGTTCTGTTCTATTCTATTCTATTCTATTCCAATATTTATTTTATTCTGTTCCTATTCTGTTCTATTCCTTCCAATATTTGTTCTATTCTATTCTATTCTATTCTATTCTATTCTATTCTATTCTATTCTAATATTTATTCTATTCTATTCTATTCTATTCTATTCTATTCTATTCTATTCTATTCTATTCTATTCCAATATTTATTCTATTCTGTTCCTATTCTGTTCTATTCCTTCCAATATTTGTTCTATTCTATTCCTAGAATAGAATAGAATATTTATACTATTCTGTTCCTATTCTGTTCTATTCCTTCCAATATTTGTTCTGTTCTATTCTATTCTATTCTATTCTATTCTATTCTATTCTATTCCAATATTTATTTTATTCTATTCTATTCTATTCCTATTCTATTATATTCCTTCCAATATTTGTTCTATTCTGTTCTGTTCTGTTCTGTTCTGTTCTGTTCTATTCTATTCTATTCTATTCTGTTCCTATTCTGTTCTATTCCTTCCAATATTTGTTCTGTTCTATTCTATTCTATTCTATTCTATTCTATTCTATTCTATTCTATTCCAATATTTATTCTATTCCTATTCTATTATGTTCCTTCCAATATTTGTTCTATTCTATTCTATTCTATTCTATTCTATTCTATTCTGTTCCTATTCTGTTCTATTCCTTCCAATATTTGTTCTGTTCTACTCTATTCTATTCTATTCTATTCTATTCTATTCCAATATTTATTCTATTCTATTCTATTCTATTCTATTCCTATTCTATTCCATTCCTTACAATATTTGTTCTATTCTATTCTATTCTATTCCAATATTTATTCTATTCTATTCTATTCTGTTCCTATTCTGTTCTATTCCTTCCAATATTTGTTCTGTTCTATTCTATTCTATTCTATTCTCTTCTATTCTATTCTATTCTATTCTATTATTCTATTCTATTCTATTCTATTCTATTCTATTCTATTCTATTCTATTCTATTCTATTCTATTCCAATATTTATTCTATTCTATTTTATTGTACTTTATTCTATTCCTTCCAATATTTATTCTATTCTACTCCATTCCATTAAATTTGCCATATATGGCGCAGTGGTTGGAATGCAGTATTGCAGACTTAATTCTGCCGACTGCCAGCATTTCGATCCTGACCAGCTCACGGTTTTGTGTTTTCCTTTTAAATCAAAGCAGTCAGTTTCACCGTCTCAGTTCAACTCCCATCAACTCCTGCATCCGCTCAGGGACTCCACGCGCCCTTCCCTTTTGTCCTGCGAAACGCCGCTGCCGCCCACCTGATCTGTGACCCCCCTGCCTTCGCTCCCTTTCTCCCGCAGGCTCCTGTCCCAGGACCCGTCCCCGAGGCCGCCACCAGCACCCCCAGCCCGCTGCCTCTGGAGCCCCTGTCCTCCGCCGCCGCTCAAGAAGAGACTTTGTTCCCGGAGCCTGAGCCCCTGGTGGCCGAATGGGGCCGGCAACGAGAAGACGAAGACAGTCCGGCGGCCGGCCAGCCCCTCCTGGATCATCAATATTGAATTAGAAGTTGGGGAGGGGGGGGGAGGCACCCACTCAGAACTATGGGCTGGTCCCATTTGGACTCTTCCTGGTTCCTCCGCTGGTCACCCGTCCCTCCCCAACTCTTCCGTTCCTTCACACAAACCAACCTGGACCGGGTTTTTTGGGGGGGGGGTGGAGTGGGGGGCTTGGTCTGCAAGACTAAGGACAAGCAATACAGGCTGTTCCAGCCTTGCCTGCAATTTCTTCCATTTGCACCTCCCTCCTTCTTCCACCATCTGGCCCCCACCCCTCAAAAAAAATACCTTCCACTTGCCTGCAGGGGCAGGCTCACCCCACAATTCACAAGGACCCGCCTTGCTCCCGCTTGGCTCTCACCGGGTGATGAGTTCAAGGCCGGTCTCGTCCCCCACCCTCTCTTTATTTTTATTTTTTTCTTCTCCTCCTCCTCCTCCCTCTGCTCTTGTTGTCCCCTGGGGTTAATAATAATGATAATTCATTCTTTTCGTTTTGTTTTGGTTTTTCCACCCGGGTCTTCCTCTCCCAGGACTTGGTGGAGTTGGGGGCTGGCTGGTGGGAGAATTTTTTTTTAAAAAAAAAAAGGCGGGGGGGGGGGGGGGGCGGAATCAAAAGCAGCCGAAGAATTTCGACGTTCAGGATTTTGGGAAAAGCGGGGAAAAGACGCAAAATGTAGGTTATTGGGGTGTCTCTGCAGAAAAGGGGGAAAGAGAATGGGAGAGGCAGCGTTTTCGATAGTTTTCTCATCTCTCTCTTCACGTCTACGGAGATTCTCAAGTCACCCAGATCGTGGTTGTCCCAGAGGTGCCTTTCCCCCCCCCCCCCCCCAAGAAGCCACTGGACTTTGTTTTTTCTTTGAAGATGTTTCCCTTCTCATCCAAGAAACTTCAAAAAAAAAAAAAAGACAGTCATTTGTATGACATGGTATAGGGTCTCCTGCTTGAGCAGGGGGCTGGACTAGAAGACCTCCAAGGTCCTCTCCTAATTCTTATTCTAACTCTACTGTGTTCTGTTTTATATATATTCTGTTCTGTTGTTCTATTCTACTCTCTGTTCTGTTCTAATTCTATTCTATTCTACTCTACTTTTTCTGTTCTTTATATATTCTGTTCTACTCTACTTCATTCTACTCTATTCTAATTCTTATTCTAATTCTATTCTGTTCTGTCCTATATATATTCTGTTCTGTTGTTCTATTCTACTCTAACTCTGTTCTGTTCTACTCTACTTTATTCTATTCTTATACTAATTCTATTCTGTTCTGTTCTATATGTATTTTGTTCTGTTCTATTCTACTCTGTTCTATTTTCTATTATATTTACTATTCAATATATATATATATTCTGTTCTATTCTACTCTACTTTATTCTGTTGTATTCTAATTCTTATTCTAATTCTACTGTTCTATATATATTCTGTTTTATTCTACTCTACTCTGTTCTAATTCTATTCCACTCTGTTCTCTGTTTT